GTCTGGTTAAATAAAATACGGTTAGGTCAAACCAAAGGTGGTATGGTTCATTAAAAGGCGATCAGCTTAAACTAAAGGCGGTCTGCTTAAACTAAAGGCGATTAGCTTAAATTAAAGATGGTCTGCTTAAACTAAAGGCGGTCAGCTTAAATTAAAGACGGTCAGCTTAAACTAAAGGCGGTCTGCTTAAACTAAAGGCGATTAGCTTAAATTAAAGATGGTCTGCTTAAATTAAAGACGGTCTGCTTAAACTAAAGGCGGTCTGCTTAAACTAAAGGCGGTCAGCTTAAATTAAAGACGGTCTGCTTAAACTAAAGGCGGTCAGCTTAAATTAAAGACGGTCTGCTTAAACTAAAGGCGGTCAGCTTAAATTAAAGACGGTCTGCTTAAACTAAAGGCGGTCTGCTTAAACTAAAGGCGGTCAGCTTAAATTAAAGACGGTCTGCTTAAACTAAAGGCGGTCTGCTTAAACTAAAGGCGGTCAGCTTAAATTAAAGACGGTCTGCTTAAACTAAAGGCGGTCAGCTTAAATTAAAGACGGTCTGCTTAAACTAAAGGCGGTCTGCTTAAACTAAAGGCGGTCAGCTTAAATTAAAGGCGGTCAGCTTAAATTAAAGATGGTCTGCTTAATTAATTATACCTTAATTAATTATTTGACCAGAATGGTAGAATCCTGGTAGACTTAAAGAAGATCTGGTTAAATTAAAGGCAGTCTGGTTAATTAAAACGCGGTTTGATTAAACCAAAGGCGATCTGATTAATTAACTATAATCTAATTAAGTAAATGACCCAAATGGTAGAGTCCTGGTGGATAAAAGCAAATTCTGGTTAATGTAAAGGCGGTCTGGTTAGTTAAATGACCCGAATGGTAGAATGCATGTAGATAAAAACATAGTCTGGCTATTTAAATGGTAGCCTGGTCAATTAACTTTATGTAATTAATTAATTGACCCAAAAGGTATAATCCTGGTAGATAATAGCATAGTCTGGTAGATAATAGCATAGTCTGGTAAATTAAAGGTAGTCTTGTTAATTAAACGGTAGTGTGGTTAATTAAACGGTAGTGTGGTTAAACAACTATATATAATTAATTAATTGACCCGAATGATAGAATCCTGGTAGATAAAAACATAGTCTGGCTATTTAAACGGTAGCCTGGTCAATTAACTATATATAATTAAATAATTGACCCGAATGATAGAATCCTGGTAGATAAAAGCATAGTCTGGTCGATTAAAGATAGTCTGGTCGATTAAACCGTAGCCTGGTCGATTAAACCGTAGCCTGGTTAATTAAACAGTTGTCTGGTCAATTAACTATATGTGATTAATTAATTGACCCGAATAGTAGAATCCTGGTCGATTAAAGGTAGGCTGGTAAATTAAATCGTAGCCTAGTCAATGAAACGGTAGTCTGGTTAATGAAACGGTAGTCTGGTCAATTAAACGGTAGTCTGGTCAATTAAACGGTAGTTTGGTCAATTAAACAGTAGTCTAGTCAATTAAACAGTGGTCTGGTTAATTAAACAGTGGTCTGGTCAATTAAACAGTGGTCTGGTCAATTAAACAGTAGTCTAGTCAATTAAACAGTGGTCTGGTCAATTAAACAGTGGTCTAGTCAATTAAACGGTGGCCTGGTCAATTAAACGGTGGCCTGGTCAATTAAACAGTAGTCTAGTCAATTAAACAGTGGTCTAGTCAATTAAACGGTGGCCTGGTCAATTAAACAGTGGTCTGGTCAATTAAACAGTAGTCTAGTCAATTAAACAGTGGTCTGGTCAATTAAACAGTGGTCTGGTCAATTAAACAGTGGTCTAGTCAATTAAACGGTGGCCTGGTCAATTAAACAGTAGTCTAGTCAATTAAACAGTGGTCTGGTCAATTAAACAGTGGTCTGGTCAATTAAACAGTGGTCTGGTCAATTAAACAGTGGTCTAGTCAATTAAACGGTGGCCTGGTCAATTAAACAATTGTCTGGTTAATTAACTATATGTAATTAAATAATTGACCCGAATGGTAGAATCCTGGTCGATTAAAGGTAGCCTTGTTAATTAAACAGTAGTCTGGTCAATTAACTATATGTAATTAATTAATTGACCCGAATGGTAGAATCCTGGTAGATAAAAGCATAGTCTGGTCGATTAAAGGTAGGCTGGTCAATGGAACGGTTGTCTGCTTAATTATTTATACTCTAATTAATTAATTGACCCAAATGATTGAATCCTGGTAGATAAAAGCATGGTCAGATTAAATAAAAGGCGGGTCTGGTATATTAAATTACCCAACTGGGGAATCCTGGTGAATAAAAGTGGGTCATGTTAACTAAATGACCCCAAATATTTTGATACCAGTTAATAAAAGCAAGCCGATTAACTAATTGACCTAAGTTGCTTTAGTACCAGTTAATAATAAACCGATTAACTAATTGACCTAAATTGTTTTGATGCTAGTCAAAAAGTTGACTGCGATACTTAAACGACCCAAATTGTATTTATCCTAGTCGAAATGTGGATTGGGTTAACTAAATGACTCAAATACTATTATTACCAGTCCATGGAAAGCAAATTCTGGTAAGGAAATGATCGATCTAGGTGAACAATGTATATGTCTGGTCAATAAACAATGCATCATGGTAAATGGGCGATTCATACAATGCATAAATGATGCATTTAATTAATTAATTCATGAATCCTGGTATAAAAAATATATTCGGTCGATGAAAGATTGATCCTGGTAAACAATGTATATGTCTGGTCAATAAACAATGCATCCTGGTCAATAATCAATCCATCCGATGTATAAATGATGCATTTAATTAATGAATTAATTAATCCTGGTATAAAAAATAATATTCGGTCAGTAAATGATCGATCCTGGTGAACAATATATATGTCTGGTCAATAAATAGTGAATCTGGTCAATAACCGATCCAGCCGATGTATAAATGATGCATTTAATTAATTAATTAATCCTGGTATGCTGCAATTGGAGATAACCATCTAAGTTTTTGACACTTTTTCAAACGTATATGACTTTTGCATAAAGCAAGTTATGGTAAGGTGAGACCGTGCAAACGATAAATACAATCATCATGTATTGTTTTCACGGTCCAGATTGTTTCTAGCTGTCCTAGATAAAAAGTCATATTCTTTCAAAGTTGGGACATAATAGTAGATCTACAGCAGAGTTTGACTTTTTTTTAAAAATTGAAAAAAAAACATATGCGATTATTACAAACGGAATTTAAATAGGCTTCCCAATATGGAAATGTATGCTAATGTGACATCTTTTTACGTTTATGCTTTTAAAATTTTTAGTTTACCATATATAAAAAAGTGTGCATTTTACTATCAGAGTTTTCTCAAGAGAAAATTGAAATAAATTTAACAACTTCGATACTTATCTCTGATTACACCATATTTCAATTGAAGAAGAATTTCATGCAGAGAGTAGTGAATGTAATACTAAAGAATTAAAAAAAAAGAATAAGAATTATAAGAGTCTAATTCAATTGATCTACAGTACCGAAAAGAAATGTTTCGCCCATTTTAACATCCGCTATGAATGGTAAAGAAGATATCACAACTTCAAATCCCTTTCTAAAGATGTACAATACGTATTGAAATATAATACTTGGAACAATAAAAGTGAAAGACATATATATTAATAATGTAAAAAAAAGATACAGTTTTAATAGCGGATTTGCTTAAATTTCTTTTTCTTAAATAAGGCCAATCGATTTGGCATATTCAAGCAGCATCTTCTACAAGTTTTTGCTGATATTTTGTTCCACTCTTCCAACAAAGCAGCCTTCAGCTCATTCAGAGAATTTGGTCTGGGGCGTCTTGCTCTGATTCTGTGATCAATGATTCCCCATATATTCTCAATGGGGCTAAGGTCAGGGCTGTTGGGTGGCCATTGCAAAACATCAATACCATGTTCTTTCTTGAACTCTCCTGAAACTTTTGATTCATGCGCCTTGGCATTATCTTCCTGGAACTTGTAGCTACCACTGCTAGGTACAGGAAGAGCATGCAAGAATGGAAGAAAATGGTCTCGAAGAACTTCTACATATCTTGGACAATCCATGTTTTCATCTACGAAAACAAGTGAACTAAGTCCTCCTGACCAGATACACCCCCAGACCATAACCAATCCACCATTTCCTTGCACCTTTGGGACAAAGTGATCCATATCAAACCTCCCACCAGTTTTGCGCCAGAGTTTTCTGCTTGAATTTTTCTTATACAGCACAAATGACGACTTGTCACTCCAGATAACTGTTTCCCACTGTTTATTCCAGTCTTTCACGGTTTTGTACCAAGCTCGGCGTTTGGCAATGTGTGCCTTGGTAAGAAAAGGCTTTGACACAGGTTTACGGCAAAAATAGTTCATGCTGTGCAAAGCTTTACGCATGGTAACCTTGCTGACATTCTTTCCCATGTCAGCACTAGCATCATCAACAAGATCATCCAACGTTGACCACCTGTCTTTTTTGAGATTCGAGACAATACGTCTTTTGTCTCTAGGTATGAGGATCTGTGGTCTTCCAGAAGACTTTCTGTTATCGGCAGTTCCTCTTTCTTTATATCTCTTTAAAAAATATCGAACTGTTGATTTGGGTACATTCAGCTTGGCTGAAATGCTGACAACATTATTTCCATCAAGTTGAAGACCAAGGATCTTTCCTTTCGTCAAATCTGAAAGCACATTATAGGGCCTACAAGAGTTATTCTTTTATGTGTTTGGCATTATGGTAGATTTGTTAATTAGTTTTTTAAGCCGTTGAAAAATATAAAATATAGGTTATAAAGCAAAGGTGCAAATAGCGTGCCAGGGTGCGAAACATTTCTTTCTCAGACTGTATTATCTATACATTTAGCTTCTTCATCAAGAGTAATAATAGATCCAGTTGAAGAGCAACAAATAATTGTGAACACAGTTGTTGATTCAACTATTATCCTTGCTGAAGAACCTACCAGTGAGCATGAGGAAGAAACCATGACAATAAATGAAAGCACTGCTACCCATCATTGTCCAAGCTGTTTGGGAACAAATTATCTTCGAATAACTAGTCTGATGTGTTCTAACAATGTACAGATACCAGTACAAAATCAGAATCCTCAAAACCAAAACGTTGCCAACATTGCCCGACTTCAAAATATCTCTGAGCCAGAAATTGATAGCAGAGGGAATATTGATGTTGTCTGTAGATTTTGTGCAGCATTGATGTGGTTGAAAGAGAAGGACACTGATTGGTCTATCCACAGATCGAAATTTAACATTTGCAGTGGCAAGAGAAAATATGTTCTTCTTCCTCTTGAGCCAACATCACCTGGAATTTCTGAGCTTCTAAATTACAGGACATTGGATGGAAAATATTTTCTCAGTAAAGTCAGAGGCTACAACAGCATCTTAAACTTCACATTGCTGAGAGCTAAAATTGACAACTCTGTGGCAAATAACCAAGGTGGTGCGTACTGCTTCAGAATACATGGCACTATATGTCACAGAATTGGGTCTATTCGTCCATCAAGAGCCCAAGATATTGATCACGTTCAACTTACTCAAGTATACATATATGATCTAGCATCGTAAGCCCAGCACCATTGCCATCATACTCCATACTTGAAAGCAGATATTCTGAAGAAAATTCGATCGATTCTCATAGAGACAAATCCTTTTGTGTCTCTGTTCAGATCAATGCATCAAGTATCACAGGAGAATGGACATGTAAAAGATGTTGCTATATGCTTGGTTGCTGAAGGTCCCCAAGATCAAAGAAGATATAATGCACCAACTGCTGATGAGGTTGCTATTCTAATTATAAATAATGAAAGAGGTTCTTCTAGAGACATCATACTGCACACACAAACCAACCAGCTACAAAAATTAAATGAGTATCATAAATCGTATGATGCTCTTCATTATGTTTTGCTCTTCTATTCTGGTGAGAATGGATAGACAATCGAATCAAAATCTTTGTCAGGAAAAACCGTTAGTGCTATGCATTAGTATTCCAACTGACTTATGTACTGCCCCAATTCTCTCCATCTTCTCCATCTCTTTGGCCAACTTTTCCAGCAATTTATTGTAGACATATATGCAAAGATTGAACATAACAGAATAAACTTTCTTGCCAGTGATCACAACCAACTTTGAGTAGACCTTTACAGTGGAATACAAGATGCTTGTTGTGGTGGTTGAAGTTGAAGAAGTTTTTAAGAGGAAGAATTGAAGATTTGAGATTAGGAATGAAGATTCGTGAGAACTTGTGTAGGTTTTGTTTATTGAGAAAAGATTTTGTATCAAAGTTTGACCAGGTTCTTACACTGAACTACTACTGCTATTTATATTGTTTTGGATTGGGAAAATTATATGACTGGGGTCAGGTAATCAATCCTATCTGAGCCTTAATCAGAGCAACGTGATCTTGGGATAATTAATGTATGATTAATTATATAAATGTGTGTAGTCCCAATGAAGTATTAACATCGAAAGTAAATGTGTTTATGAGTTATAATTATGCTTATAATAATCCACTGATGTATCCCATATTATGGTGATATCATCATATGAAATATAATCACTATCATGCATGCTAAACCTGTGTGTTAAATAATAAAGTAATCGGTAGACACCTTTGACTGGAATAGCTGAGGCCTTATATTATTTCCTTCAGACTTATTCTCAATTACAGCAGTAGTCAATACTCATTTATAACATAGCCAATTGGTTATTCTTTCTTTATCTATAGTATGGTTATTCTTCTCAATGGGGAACCCTTGGAGAGCAAGCGCAGCTTGTATGTTTTTAAAGTATGCTGCGATTGGAGATAACTATCTAAGTTTTTGAGTATATTTTAAAAGTTTATAACTTTTGCAAAACATAAGTTAATATAATTCTGAACTCTTAATTTGATAGCTATTTTCATTATCTCTACAATTAAAAGTTTATAATTGCTTTAACTGCTCTGAATAAAAAGTCTTAGACTTTCAAAGTTGAGATGTATTGACTTCTTTACAGCGAAGTTTATCTAGTTCTTACAATATTAAAACAAGTTAAAAGACTGTTACTGACGGACATTAGATTATAATTTCTTAAAAAGAAAAATCATGCGCATGTGACTTCGACTTTTATTTTGTACCTTTTATAATTTTACTCTTCCTCATGTGTTACTACTTAAGCTTAACATACTTATATTTAAAATACTCTAAAATGCCTTGTCCAAAAAAGAAATCAACAACAGCAAAGAAAATAAACAGATTGGCTAGTAGTGGAGCTTTTATTAAAAAAATACAATTGGAAAATGAAGATTATGTGGACTTGGAGTTTGACCATGAAGACGGTATTGTTTTGGACAACAGAGAACTCCAGGGAATGTCAGAAGAAGTTACTTCAGCTGCATATACAAACCAGATTCTGAAATGGCATGAAGGTGCTGATAAGTCGATTTGTGGAACTTATCAGAAAAATTCGCAAACAACTGAATGGAGAAAAAGAAAAGCAGATAATGATGCTTCAAATACGCAAGAAAGCTACAGTCTTACAGATACAGGCTTCTTTATTAAAGTTCAAAAAGAGGCTCCAATTGAATTAAAAGAATCTATTGATAGTAAATTGGAGAACATACAGATTGACAAAATTGCTGTGCTTAAACTTGCACATGAAGATGTTAAGAAAGAGATTTTCCCTTATACTCGCGCAGGTCCTTCTTCAAAGTCAATTAATGCTTTTGAACTCTGTTAGTTTAAATCAGTTGAATGCTATCTTCGATACAGAATATCAGGTGCCAAAACTATGGAAGCCTCAGAAAAAGCATCAATGGAAATATGGCTTCACAAAAACACTTATTGTCTAGCTGCTATAAGAAAGTATGTCAAATAGTATATTGATTTCCGTTTAATTACCTTACATCAACAAGGAAAGCATTTGAGAATACATTCTTTATTTTGGGATGAAGATATATAGTCTACTATTTGTAAATGGATTCAGAACCAGAGACCTGAAAGTCGAAGTCTTATCAAAGTGAAGATGTACATTGATGGAGAGATTTTGCCAAGAAAGTTTGGTATATCTGGAAATAGTTTTACCAGTACAATCTGGAAGTATCTTCATGAATGGGATTATGTGTTTAGAGAGAACTCAAAAGACATTTATTACAATGGTCATGAAAGAGAGGATCTGATTGCATATCATCAGAAATGGGCAAAAAGAATGATAGTGTACAAGAGAATAATAGCTTTTTCTGAAAATTAAGAAACTGTAGTTTTGCCAGTACTTAGATCCAATGAAATACAGCATGTTCTTGTTACTCACGATGAGTTGACATTCTATACAAACAATGGGAAAAATATCATGTGGCTAATGGAAGATGAAAATCAAATTAGTAAGAAAGATCTAGAAATGTCTCTCATGATCAGTGAGTTCTAGTGCGTATGCTACTGAACAATGACTAGAGGGGCATGGTTGTTACTAGAGGTATTCCGCCCCAGGGCCGACAGAGATGGGTACTGGATGAGTGCAGATATGTTGAAGCAATTGAAAAACAATATTATTCCTCTTTTTGAATTGTTTCACCCAGAGTGCAATGCTGTCTTTTCATTTGACCAAAGCACAAATCACAGAGTGTATGATCAAAATGCTTTGATTTAAAGCAAAATGAAGCTAAATGACAATGAGATTAAAGACAACAATCCTTGTTCTTTGCAGGATACAGTATTTGTCCAGAATGATGTAAAGGAAGTAGAATCAATGTACTGCGAGAAGGACATATAGTTTGCAAAGAAAAGTGAATGGGTCCAAAATAAGGTTAAATATGTTAAAGGCATCTGTCATATTCTGGAGGAGTGTGGTTTGTGTCTTGAGAAGAATTTGTATAATCCTATTACGAAATAGCAACTAGACTGTAAGAGTAAAGACACCTATGAAGATAGCAAGTGCTGTGCACATCATTTTCTAGCTTCACAACCAGATTTTATGTCACAAAAAACTGCTCTTTATGAGGCTGTCAAAGACTCTGGTCATATATTTGAACTTTACCCCAAGTTCCATTGCAAATGCAATTAGATTGAGAGGTATTGGGGTGCCGCAAAGCATGAAGATTGCCACCAGTATGACTATATGTATAAGTTTCTGGATAAGAATATCCATACTTTTCAAGATCATGCTGGTAAGCTTCCAAATATCTACTGGTATTACAACTGCTTGTAGTGCTACTTTGATGTATACAGCCAAGATATGAATGTGAAAGAAGGCAATAATGCTGTAAAAAAATTATCAAAAATATATACTTCTCATTATCATAATGAAGAAAGAGAATAGAATTTCTATCTGTACTTTCTTTTTTATTATTATTTTTACTTTTACATTATATTTATCTCTATTTATTATTTTATTAAATATATCTATTCTCCTTTTGTGCTTATTCTTTATGTTTTGAGTACTAAATATCATTGAATTTTGATTTTTTTGAAAGGCTGTCAGACATTAAATCATAATTGGCTGTTGGAGTTTTCCAGGAGAAAATTGAAGCAAATCCAAAAAAATTGATACTTATCTCTAATTGCACTATAAAATAAAATAAAAAAGCAAATAGAGAACCTGTTGTCAAGTGAAAATTCTAAATTTTCACTTTTGCTTTACGCAGCAATTGAAATTCTAATGAAAAGATGTAAAGTTTTACTGTGGGAGATCATTTAGTGATGAAATGGAGTGAAAAATTGAGAGTTTTCTAGTTTTTCACTCCATTTCATCACCAAGTTTTTATTAAGAATTGAGCTTGTTTCTTGAGAGCATCTGCAGTGGTTACATTATCAAAACATTGTATATAGTGTAGTATAGTCACACTGGGGATTGAATACCAGTTAAAAACAGATTGCCAAATTGTGGTTATATTACAAAGGAACAATTTGAGCTTTTTGACTGTTTAAAGTTTTCAGTTCTTCACTAATGATTTTGTTCATATTCTTTTTCTTAAAATTTATTTTATTGGACATTTGTTCTCTATAGATATATTAAAAATATGAATTTAATAATTTCAATATTGTCAGATTAATACTTAGCATAATTTGTGAGAATTTCTTTGCTTATTTCTATAGACCATTATTCATTTTAATAAAGGCTGTGAGAGAGAAGAAAACAATTCAAAAAGATAATATGAATTTATAATATAATACTACATGTAATGTTTCTGACCTTAAAAATGTGCTACATTATATATAATGTTGTCTGTAATGTAACTACTGCAGATGATTTTTTTGAGAAAATTTTGAAATCTACATTAAAACAGTCGCAAAAATTAATTTTAATGTAACTGCTGCAAATACTCTTACCTTCAAACATAAAAATAATATAGTCAAGAGTCGTCTCATTATATCTACTTAGGAGAATAAATCTTGAAAAGTCAGTTTATTAAGATGTATCTTTCTTATGTTTGTCACAGTACTTAGGTTTTTATTATGTTGTTGAGTTTTTCTTTTTTTTTTACTTGGTTTCACTAATAATTCTTTTTTAGCACTTTGAAAATATCACATTCCAACAGGTTCTCTAATGAAATAAATTTTATTTATGTAAACAGAGTTAAACAGTTTGGTACAAATAAAACAAGATAATTTTTAACACTGTAATTTCTTGAATGAGATATACTATTTACATGCCTTTGAAAATAATAAAATAAAAAATAAAGCTTGCAAAATACAGACCCATATCAGTACTGAATAAAATTTTAAGATTTCGCCAAATCAAGGCATCACCATTACACTACTTTCTATTTATTTTTTCAAAGCTTTTCCTCATTCGAATCTCACCATGTCTCACCAAAACAAAAAAGAAACTCTTCCCAAACAAAAGCAGCTTTCAGATTATCAAAGAGGACTGATAATTGGTGGTGCTGTAGTAAATGGCACTGCTGCTGAAATTTCTGAGAAGAATGGTATACCTCTGGCAATGGTGTATTCCACAATCAATAGATGGAGAGATACTGGAACCGCATTTCCTGATAAGCAAAAAGGAACTTTGAAGATAATGGATGAGCGAGATGAGTGTCACTTGATTAATGAGATGAAGACGAATCGTGAGACAACACTTGGGGGTCTTACCACCTTCATGTCTGACACCTTAGGGCATCCCATCTCCAAGTCTACCATTCGTTGAACTATTTGTAGATCTGGATTGTCTTCTTGTAAAGTTGTATACAATCCACTGCTATCAAAAGCACACAAGAAGAAGCGGTTGGCATTTGCTAATCATGCCAGAGAGACCAATCAGAGATGGGATCGCGTCATCTGAAGCAATGAGTCAAGGTTTATGCTTTTCAGCAGAGATGGCAATACTAGAGTATGGCGGTATCCTCAAGAAAAATACAGAGAAGAGTTCATTAGACCAAGACTGCAGTGTGATGGAGGCTCCATTATGGTTTGGGGCTGTGTATAGGCAGGAGGAGTTGGCCCATTAAAAACCATAAAGAACACGCTTGACTAGTATGCATATATGGACTTAATGAAAAGGAAGCTTCTTCCATTTATGGAATCTCTTAGTGAGAACAATGATGGGGAGTTTATCTACCAAGAAGATAATGCTTCTTGTCATAAGTCTAAGGTTGCAGAAGAGTGAAAGAAGTGTCAGAACTTCCCAGTGATGGCATGACTGCCAAATAGTTCAGATCTCAGCCCCATAGAGAATTTATGGGCATATCTTACTGGAAAAGTGAAGGCCAGAGTCCCCTCTCCAAAAAATCTTAATGAGCTGGAGAGGGCTATTCATATAGAATGAAAGAATATTCTGGCTGATGTTTGCAAGACACATTGCATGTCAATGCCTAATTGCTTACATGAGATGAAGAAGGCTCGTGGAGGGTCAACACATAATTGATTTTTTTAATAAATTTACTTTTTTTCTTTTTAAGAGCCATATCTTAGTATATATATGTTTTCAAACATGGGGTGTTAAGTGAATATAGACAAACTAGTGTAAGAATATTAAAGAAGTTGATGCCTTGATTTGGCGGAATCTTAAAATTTTATTCAGTACAGATATGGGTCTGTATGTCTAACATTTATATTTTTATATGCTTTTTTTGAATTTTTTTATGCACCTCTCATACCTTTAGCATCTTTATTCTTTATATTTTTTATATTTTCTTATGCATTTTCTTAAATATTTTTCTATGCAAAAAATAAAAAAAGAATATGCAATTTAGGTTTCTTTTATCGCAGTTTACATTTATATTTTGTGCAAACAAGCTTTGCAAATTGAGGCTAAAATAAAAATTAAAAGTGCAAATTAAAAACGTAAATTAAAAGAAAATATGCAAATTTGGTAGGATAGAATGCAAATTAGTTTTCTGTGTGGCAGCAAACTGATTCTAAAAAAAAGCAAACTTTTTTTTATAAACTGCCAATTTTTTTAAAAAACTGTAAACTTATTTTTATAAGCTGCAATCAAATAGAAAAAATCCAGTACTTGACCTTGATTCCGAAATCAGAACAAGTGTCCATATGCTTGATGATTCATTTGTTATGAAACACTCAAACCAAATTGAAATCTATATTATTGCCAAAGCCTGCAGAAAATTCAATAATAGGAGCAAGAACTCTATTGCTGCTCCTATGGACTTTGCCAAGCTCTTGGCTGCAAGCAATAAAAACAACACCAAAGTAAAGAGTATAGACATCAATGATGTCCAAGTTGAGTCTGTTAAGGAAAATCAACAAAATCATTGACTATATCTCTGATAAGAAATAAACAAGTAAAAGAAAATATTAGTATTAAATATAATTGTATCTAACTGAAAAACTTAAATGTATCAGATAATGACTATAAATATTTGCATGTCTGTAACCTGAACAGAGTGTACAATAGTTCAGTAGAACATGTCACTGATCATGAACATATTGTTCTCACATACATGTTCACTAGTTGTGCACATGCTGTCAGTCTGGAATTGTTTTCCATGTTTTTTGAGAACAACATCTTTTATAAAGTCTATAACAAATGCGTAAAAACTGTTAATAAGTACATGATAGAACTTGGATTCAGTAAGCTTATAAATAGTATACTCTTTTTATAGCATGTGCACTTACTACTATTTTAGCTAATATAGATTCAATTCTGTCATACTACAAGATAGACACCTTGTTGAAGGATGAGTACCCAGTGAAATTTGTTACATACAATATGTGCATAAATGGATGCTGCCGGTTCTCAATAATAGAAGAAGAAGACTTCATCAACGAAGATGAAACATGTCCTTATTTTGGTGAGGGCAGATACAAAGTGGAGAGAGTGAGTGTAAAATCTGCACAAATCTTTCAGATGGTGTCTCTCTTAGAGCAACTGAGATTCAAGCATGCTCACCATGAGGAATGGGCTAAAATGACCTATGAGAATTTCTGAAGGTTTATGGGGCTTTAAAGCTCCGAATTCAAACTCCGCCATTTGCCTACAGTGTCATAAAGCAATCTGAAGATCACCAGTTCATTTCCCACAAAAGACATCACTGCAAAAGACCGCTGATTTTAGTTCCTGAAAACCTGCAAAAATTTTACTACAATTTTTGATTTTTAATTTTTTCAAATAATTTCTATTTTTTTCTGTTGTGATTTCAGATCGCTCTTTTTTAGCTGTAAAATCACACTACCGTCATTTTTTTGGCCATAAAATTATAAAATTGGGTTTTTTTTTATATTATACACTTCTTTGATATAATTCTAAATTACACTGAAAAAACACTTATACAAAAGTTAATATAATATTTAATAAAAATTATATATATTCTTAAGGTTTCACTTTTTCTATTTCAAAATAAATCATTTAAATATTTTTTATGTATTATAAATGTGAATATAAGAACAAATATTTAATTAATATATTTCAAGGGAACGAGACAAAAGGTTGTGATTTCATTTTTACTGTGGCAATATTTTTGTGTGATTTTTCCCTTTGATATATGGAGCTAAAATATCAGATTTTTTTATTTCACATGTTGTGAGAGGCAAATGTTCCATTTTTGGATTATTTTTTGTCATGGTCGAATCATCGTCATATCAAATATTATAATTCTAAAAAAAGACTTTTAAAAAAAAATTGCATAAACTTTTAGTAATGTACGCAGTATTTGACTTGGTTAATGACTTAACAATAAATGAGTATAATTATGATGATATGTGTGGTAGATGTATCAAAGAATTACTTGGCATACTATAGTCATGGCATGGAGCAGTATTATATCTATTTATAATTTTTTTTTGGCATATAAAGACCTTGATCAAAATCTCTTAAAATCTATATAATTTTTTTATAATTTAAAACAATCGACATGTTCAATAATCAAAAGAAAGACAGTTATGTTATCTGCAAATGTCCAGACTGTACAAAGTTGGATAGCTGTGGAAAGAAACAGAAAAGACAAAATGCACAATGACACTATGAGAAACATATAGTGCCTGTTGCCAAAGACGATGCAATGGGTAAATAACAAGAATAACTCGAGCTGTACATGTAAAATTAATATAAATTAATTCATAAAATAGATGTTCCTGAAGAACATTTTGACGACATGGAAGTAGATAGTATTGACAGTGACAATGACAATGATTATGATTACGAGAACGAAGGTGAAGGCGAATATGAAGACGAAAATGAAGAACAAAACATTGAATTTGATCAAGAAGGTAAGAAAATAAAATAAAATAAATGAACAAAATAATAATTGAAACTGATATATATTTTTTTTATTTTTTATTTTTTATATGATTATAATTGTAATTATATTTTTATTTCTACATCTTTACAACAATTATTCCTTTCCAGTTGACTTACCTTTGTCCCAAGAAGAGTCTATCTTTACTGCCGAAGATACAATTACAGGAGCATTTGTGGTTGATGGCGATGAAATTGAAGAAGGCGATACTGGTTTTGATTTTGAACAAGAAGAAAACTTTGATGAGACCAGTGGGACCTCAATAGTAGAATCAGGTATGAATTAATACGGTATAGACAATTAATCAATATATTAATTTAAACTAACTTAACCTTTGTCTTCATAGCTCGTCCTTCGTCTTTTGATAACATGCCCTTGTATATTCGCTTTGTTGCAGTATTCATTGTCATATTTCACTTGACCTTTTTGGTGGAAAGCGGTGGATCGATTCTCATTGAATTTTGTAATACTCTACTGTTTCTCTGTGATATGTCTGGCGCCCTTCCACTGACGATCAATAGCTTGAAGCATAAGACAGGATTTAACATAGCAACAGACGGAATGACAGTATACATTGCATGCTCACAATGTCATTCGATTTATCCTCCGGAAACAAGTCAAAGAGTCTGTACATTTAAGAAATTCTCTCAATCCGCCATTTGCAACAACAATCTCTTTAAAGTGTCAACCGGAAATCATTCTCTTCCAGCAATGGTATATCCATTCAACTCTCTGAAGTACGCCTTGCAACAAAAATTCTCCAAGCCAGATTTCGTGTCCAAGATCAATTTGTGGAGAAATCATCAAATAATTGAAAACACCAAACTTGACATTTTTGATGGTGCAGTTTGGAGTGATATTAAAGACATCAATGGCAGACGGTTTGTTGATGATAGCCAATCTTTAATGTTGACTCTGAATATCGATTGGTTTCAGCCATTTGATGGACAAACACATTCCAGTGGTGCGATATATCTCTCTATCAACAATCTCCCACGGAGTGAACGTCTTAAGTCTGAAAATGTCATTCTTGTTGGTATGATATCTGGGCCGAAGGAAGCAAGCACTGACAGCATGAATCATTACTTGAAGCCGCTTGTTAACGAATTGTTGGAGATGTACATTGGTGTAGAAATGACAGACTCACAAAATAGAAAGATTGTTGTTTGTGCTGCATTGATGTGTGTTGCCTGTGATATCTCTGCCACTCGCAAAACCTCTGGATTTACTGGCCACATGAGCACATGCGCCTGTCACAAATGTCAACAACAATTCACGACTATAAAGAAGACCAGCAAGCTTGACTACTCTGGATTCAAGTATAGCAATTGGGTGAGACGCACAAAGACAATGAATCTGGAACACACTGTCAGCTAGGCAAATGCATTGAACAATACTGAGCAAACATGTCTAGAAAAAGAAAATGGCACTCGGTGGTCAGAGCTTCATTGGTTATCTTACTTTGACCTAGTCCGCTTTACAGTTATAGACCCGATACATAACCTCTATCTTGGAACTGCAAAGCAAATGATTCAGATATGGCGCGAGTGTAACTATATCAATGAAAAGAATCAGTTAACTATGCAAGAGCTTGCCAATGGTATTGTTGTACCTTGTGGATATGCGCGTATAACAAAGAAGATTGCTGATGGTTTTTTGTTCATGAAAGCTGACGAGTGGAAGTCGTAGTGCGTCATATACTCTCCATTTGTTCTGAAGCATGTGCTCCCAGCCAAAAATCTCGAAAACTGGATTTTGTTTGTTGACGCATGCCACTTACTCACAAAACCTTTGATCAATGACAAAGAAATAGATGAAGCCCACAGTAAACTCCAATTGTTTTGTACAAGATTTCAGACACTGTATGGAAAATCGGCTGTGACACTGAATATGCATCTACATCTTCATCTTGGCGAGTGTGTTCATGACTTTGGGCCAATTTATGCTTTCTGGTTATTCAGTTTCAAGAGATACAATGGTTTGTTGAAGAATATCGAAACAAATCAAAAAGGCGGCTTTGAATCAATGATGATGAAGAGATTTTTGGAGATAACATACATTGGCAACTTCATACAATCTTTTGTCAATCATCTTCCCCAGTTCGCAATTGACTTTCTGCATCGCATTTCAAATAGTCAAGATCAATTAGCAGCATTGCATCCATCTTCTACTGCCAGTACCTTTTCTCTGTCTGACTTTGTTGAATATTCGTTAAACTCTTGTCATTCTGCTTTGGGTTGTGAGCTGTTGCCCCCTTCAGTGTTTCCAATTAAACTCAACCAAAGGATTACAATGTGCAAGGGACATTATGAATGTTTACTGGAGTTTTACAGACACGCGTATGGCAGTCACGATCTTTTTGGCCATTATTCAAACTGCGAGTCTAACCAGATTTTTGTCAATAACCAAATTGAGAAAATAAAACAGATATCTCTTCTTGGACAGGAATACTCTTCTGGGTCTTATTTCCATGCCTATTATCTTGAGAATAACAGTGAAGATAAAGCAGCGTTTTCTGGCTGTATACTGTATTTATTTCAACATTTGATAACTATCAACAAAACTGTCATCACCCATACTTTTGCGTTTGTTGAGTGGTACTCTAGTTATTCTTTGGGGAGTTACCAGCCAATGTTAAATGAAGGCATTGAGCTCTGGAATGAACTTTCTTCTGTACTTAATTATGAATGTATTATTCCAGTACATTGTTTATATTCACCAATCGCAATTGCTAAATATAGATTTACTATAACTAGTGAATTTAAACGTTTAGTAATCCCTTTACCCCAAAAAATAGAAGCTTAAATAATATTAATAAAATACCATTTTGCACTCTTTTATCAATTTATTAGAAAATGTTTGATTTATTGTCTTATTATTTCTTTGACCATGATGGCAGCTTGTTTGCCTTGGTCTTACTAAGCTGCTTATCTCTTATTCCTTTAAATTTATGCTCGAATGGATGGGTATTATTTTTCTTATCATGAGCTGCCTCATAATCCACATCAAGTTCATCAACGAACCTATCTCCCTATATGTCAATGTAAGTATTATTACACACCATCCAAAAAAATAGTTTTTTGTACTATACCTCTTCGCTTCTCCAGCTTGGGCAGAATCTCCAAAAAAAAACTGTTTTCTGAGGACGAATCCTGTTCCTCTTCTTCTCTTTCGTCATCACTCTCAAGGTCTGACACGTAATCAGCATGGAGAATACTGTCAACATTCTCTCCAAAGCTGTTCACAAAGTGTGCCCGATTGGCTTTCAAGGCAGATTGTCTTCTTTCACACGACTATATATAAATATATAATATTTCTAATTTAATATCACATCTAGTATATTGTGTGCATGTGTTTTTTATCTTTACACATTGCTGACAAAGACAGGCCCGTCGATTCTCTTCCTGCTTCTTTTCTTCTGTTTTTTTTTCTTGCAACTTTCTGTTGCCAATGTGCCGCACAATCTTAGTTCGAAGAGTTGGCAAATCCACCTTTTTCCCCTCTTCTTGATGATGAAGGTAATCGGTAACAGACTTCAGAACGAGTCTGTTTCCCTCACTGTTTTTATTTTCATTGGTATTGTATTGGTCATACAATTTCTCTTCACTCAAATAATCGCGCAACAATTGCTATAATATAAATGTATATTAAATTCTATCTATATAAAAACATATTATGATTACTTACATCCAATGTTGGTTGACGTCCAGGCGACATGTCTTGCTCAACTGCATTACTTGCAGTGGCTTGGGCTTTCTCAGAAGATGTGTTCTTCAAAACAGTGTTTAAGACACCATTCATGATATCAAGTTTCTCGTACACATCATGGATGTTACGAGTTCTACCTGACGAATCACCTTCAAGATTCAACCGAGCTCTCTTTGGTGCTAGTGGTCTTTGATTGCTCACTGTTCCCTGTGAGTGTTGCAACATTATCGTCCTTATATCATTGGTATTTCTTGGTGGGCTTTTTTTTTGATTTTTATAAAAAACAAAAATAAAATTAATATAAGAAAATTGAAGACTGCCTGGTTTTAATCTACCTTCCCACAGAAGGTTCTTCACCAAAAGCATTGTTAACTGAATTGTTATTGAGATTTCTTGACATTGTGAATAATAAGAATAGCTTGTTTTTTTTTAAATCCAAAGGGTCTATTTATATTATGTTTAATTTGGGCTTTAAGTTTTATTCTTTCTCAGAGAATACCATGATCTATTATGTAACAAGAACAGCTTTGAATGTTTCCACTCTTGTTGTGAGTATTTTATGTGTTTCTTTAATTTAATTTTCAATCCATGTTTTATTCTTATATTATGTATTAGTATTTGAATAATATGATTTTATACTATACTCTGTTTTTCATATGTATTAGCTGCTGGCATAGTGCAACTGCGTTTTCTTTCAATTCTAAGTTACAGACAAAAATTATTTTTTGATTTATTTATTTTTTAAAAAAAACCCCAAATTCGTATTTAATAGAATAACCGCGCCCCTCTTTTTTATTTTCTCTTTCTTTAACCTGCTCTTCTCGTTTTGTCTCTTTTTATATGTCTTGGTAAGCTTACTCTTAAGATCTCAACTTTTATTAATACTTTTGGCTTTTAGAATCATCTTAATATATATTAGATAAACAATACACTCAATAAGCATTCAAAACAGTACAGGTAATAAACAATCTCCTAACCAAAATGAAACACCTTGCTGACTAAATATCTTTTATTTTTAAAATGATAGGGCTTCTACCCATTTTGTAATAAAAGATGTTTTGCTCTTGACACTATATACTTTCTGGTATTTTCAGTCTATGAAAAGGTAATATATATATAACTCAACTTAAATAATGTAACTTATCAATTCTTCTTCTCAGATAAATATGTCACGTCTTTTTTTCAAGTCATACTGGTTTGCCCCTTTTTGCAAATGCGTGTCTATAATATATAAGTAATTCAAGTGTCTTTACAATCAAAGCGTACATATTAATAAAGTTGTTTATTTTATTTCTTGCTTTTTATTTAAAAGAAAATATCAATCAAACGGATTTTTATTCTATTGCGAGATTTGTTATGAACCCCCATAAATGATCTAGTAAGTATGTTATTTCATTTTATTTCATAAAGAAACCTGTATTAATACTTCTGTATCTTTTTTTGCTCTAAGCTAATGTAGTTCCAAACAAACGTATTCTCCAAGAAAATACCAAGGATTTCATTTTCAGTTAAAGAAGTGTAAAACCAAAAAACGTGCTGAATACATGAAACCGATATGGTAGGGAAGTATAGTATAAGTTAGGTCGTCCAATGTATTCAAGCCGTCCAATAAATGAAAGTATAACATGTATACAAGTCGTACTATTCGGATACACACTTTTAAAGAAGTATTAGTGGTCCATATGAAATAGCTAAATATATTTTCCAACCATTCAAAAATCAATAAAAACCATTTTTTCTATGAGATTCTATTTCAAATGCGTCATCTCTTGATGATGTCAACAAGATCCACTGGAAAAATTAAAAAAATAAGGTAGTTTAAATATGGGGTATAGTGCAGTGTAATTTTCATATTTAAATTAGTTGATTTTTTTTTCCACTTGTGCTGAAGGTGACCTTCACAGATAGTGGAATGACTAGAGTCAACTAGCGGAATTGTGGGTGGGGGGTGCCGCAGGTAAGGTTTGTTAGCACTTTAGATATACTTATCTGACTTGATATATAAAAAGAAAGTTTTTTAAAACTGCGTATCTATTTTGATATTCTTTATATGGAACCATAAAGGTCAGGCACCGACATATTATGAAGATTAAAAGTAGCGTAAAGGTGACCTTTAAGCTAGTTTATTGTTAAGAAGTTTGGTCATCAGCAGCAAAAAAAGGCGTCTTTAAAATTATGGACCAGTAATATGTTCTTTATTTATTTGGTTTCCCGTTCTTATTAGGCTGGTAATGGTTTACGCTTTTATTTTTATTGGAAAGAATAGAATGTTTCTAGGTTTCAGATCTAATAATACTATTCTATATCTCTAGCTACTTCTTGCTCGGTCGGTTTGTCATATTTGGGATGAAAAATTTTCTACAAAAAAGAAATACCTAAAAAAAAATGAGCTGCTCAATACGTTTTTTTTGGGGTACGAGCAGTACTCTTTGAGAATAGATAAATCGTTAGTGATGGGTGTGCGTGTGTGTTGGATATTTCAATTCTTATAAACCATTAATACTTATATTGGAATTATCCAGTACAAAGACCAAACAATAAAATATTACAAGTAAAGCTACGGAATTTTGATTCCTTTGGCTATGAAAATGATTGGAAAAAAGTAATTTTTGTGAATTGGGCAATATAATTATTAATTTACATACCCAAAGCAAACGGATTTATTTGTAGATATAGATAATACTTATCAAAAGTCGATATAGTATCTGGTAGTTTTTTTTATTAATAAACAGTATAAGTAATATAATGATACATATAAGGATAGTAAAAGAACAAAAAAAGTCTTACCATGTCAATGACAGCAGCATGAGATAGAAGCTTTTGATTCATAGCATGTTTTAGAGAGGGTTGTTCATCTATAGTAAAAATTGGATTCAGTTTGATTAATATTAAAGAGAAATATAATAAATAAATAGATAAAAATATTACCATGTTGGTGGTCGTGTTTAGCTGTAGAAAATATTTTGGGTGATATGTCCTATAAAAAAGAAAGGAAAAAATCAGGATACTTTTATGAGATGATGGTATGAAGTATATTTACTAACCTTGGCTAATCTGGATGGCCATTGTGAAGAGGATGCATCAGAAGGAAACTATACGCGAGTGACTATGGTAGCAGAAACACTTGTTATTACTCAGCTATATTTGAAGAAATTACTAATAAAGAAAAATAAAGAAAAAAAGCGCCTTACCAGGAACATTTGCAAGTATAAGAGTAAAAGAGAAAGAAAGAAGTAAAAAGAAAAGAGAGGGCGAGTGTCTATGGCAACTGAAACAACTAATTCTTTTTAGTTATATAAAAAAAGTACTTTAAAAAAGCAGATTAAAAAAAAGACTAATAAAAAAATAAAAAAATGGGTGGAGACAGCGACGAAGAGTGTGTCTATGGCAACAGAATAAATAAATTCTTTTATTTTCTATAAAGAAGACTTTTTAGAAAGAACATGTCTTACACAAATAGTTCGCAAATATAATAGAAGTTGCAGAGATAGAGAAACAAAGAAAAGACCAATAGCAAATATAAAGAGCAAAAAAAAAGAGAAACAGGAACAACAACAAAAAAAGAAAAAAAAAGTGCGTTTGAAACAAAAGACTAGACTGGTTTGATCAATTGGGTTCTAAAGCAGTATGAAAGCCGATTTGCATCTCAGTGATTACAAGAAGTATTAATAGAGACTTATATATCAAAGATATGCTGAATATCTATATAAACCATACGTTTTATACAATTTGTTTACTCTTTCTCCTGCTTTCTTGCTACTTATTGCACTCATACTCAAACACACACACATCAACCCATTTTATTTCAAATAATTTAAGTATGTAAATTTGATATAATTTATTTTTAATTCAATTCAATTCAATTGTATAATAGCATCAATAACAATGTAATCTAAAATTAACAGTTACATTTTTACCTTTTATTATATTCTGTAGACAATGGCTATTCAAAGACGTCAACTTGCTCTTCGTCCCGTTGAGATTACAAACGAACAATTGATGGAAATTCTTTCAACTTTGAAAACTAATATGACAGCCATGGGAACCAACATGGCAGCTGACATGTCGATTGTACAAGAACAAATCGGCACTGTTGAAGATACATTGCTAAACATGAATAGCAGAATTGGTGTTCTTGCCACCAGCAGCACTGAGACAATCACTGCTATTGACAGTTTAAGCAGGGCCCCCCTCGTTTCCCCTACCAATACAATGGCTAATGTTTCTCAGCCTGCCTTCAACGCTCCGTCTGAGTTTAGCAAGAAGGCCTCTAATGATGTTTATGTGAGTATCAACATGTGCAAAATTTTATCGATGTATTTTCTCATATATTCTATCAGGCCCATATTCGTAATTTCATGTGGGATCCCAAGCTGAAAACAAGAAATCAAGCTGATATCCTGGCAAATGAGAGTAAGCCCAGATGGAATACAAATGTTTTCTTTTACAAGTCGCCAAACAAGGAGTTGGTGGTGCGACTTCTTGAAAACTTGAAGCGCAAGTTTACCCATGAGGGATTTAGAGAGGCAGACTTGAGAGCAAGACTGCACAAAAACTTCACCAGCCGGGTTTCAAAAGCAAGAAAAACCGAAGAGGAAATAAAAGCAACAAACACTCGTTCGAGAAGGGCAGGACGTGCCAGAGATGTAAGTGTAATCTCTAAATAAATAATTTCAAAATAATATAGTTTAGTCTTGAGAATTTTAAAAATACTAATACAAAAAAACTACTATTAGAATCATACTCGCCGTTTACTTGCATACACAGACAACAAAGAAGCAATTGATCTACAAATGAAGAGAGATTGTGACTTCACGATGCAAATGGCAGCAATGTCCGATGGAGAATCTGCAGATGAAGACTTCGAGAATCGCACGAAGAGCATCGTCAAGATTGTTCGGCCAGGATGGAGAAGTGACGAGGTATATTATTTTATATTAATAATTATGTCTTATTATAAAAAATATAAAGTGAAGTATTAACAAAATCATTTTAGTTCAATACTCTCATTAAACTCGTTGATGAGTATGTTATTGAAGCAATGGGGTCAAGTGCTTCTCAAATGAAGGAGAGGGTTTTCACCAATGTGTCCAATACAGCAGTCCCAGATGACATAACCCCCAAATTTCCTCAGTGGGCCCTTAGAGACGGGTATTAAATAAACAAAAATTGCCTCTCTCTTTTTATCTATATATTACTTTTCACATACAAAATACTATCAATATATATATCAGAAATACGCGCTCTGTTTTTTTTGTTAAAGAAAAAGAAATGTAAAAGTTCACTTTATTTATTATTTAAGCATATAGCTTCTTTGGCAATGGAATTACCAGCATTTTGCTAACATTTCTACTTGTCGCAATAGTAGCTGTAGCAACCTCTAATAAGATGCGATGTACAGGTATAATGCTATGGTAGCTATCAGGAGAGAACGTGGGCAAACAAAATTCAACACCGTCATCCTCACGCGACCTATCAGAGGAAGTACAAAACCACTTGATAAATGCGAATACATGTTGATGATCATGAACCATGCGAGTCAGATGGAGATTGTGCGTGGGTGGAAGTTGGAAGGAGTGTGTAAAAAGATACTGAATTTGTCCAGCAAATCCAAGTATAATGTTTCCATTACTACCAACAAACTTTGCCTGAACAAGTGATCTGCGACTGATTGTGCTGTTGTTTGTTCCTCGATAGTGTTGACCAAGAATGTCAATTGACTTCAATTTGATGATTTGATTGTCAAGTGCTGGGTGATTATAGGACGTGTCCTGATAGCTGGCAAGGTCTGGGAGGTTGTAAGTGACTTGGTAATATTCAAGTAAATGGAGATAGTCGGAATCATCCATTACTGATGGCTTTTTGTATTTTAGAGGAAATGTAGAAGGAGGAAGAGGCTCATTACCCTTGGGTGGATTATAAGGATCAGTGTAGCCTTGAACGAATGCTTGCAATCTGAATGGGCGACTGGAGAGAGTGGTGACTGTGGCAGCAGGTATGGAGGTTGTAACAAGTTTAGACAGAGTGTGAATGAAGGGGATCTGGCTAGAACTTTTAAGAACAGCATTGACATAATCACCCTTATACGCATTCTGAACAAAATTTTTCATGTAGGTCGCCTCAAAACCGTCTTTGCCATTTGTCTTGAAATTCTTTAAAATATCATTGTATCGCTCAAACCCAAAGAGCCAATAACCATACACTGGTCCAAAATCACGAATGCATTCATGAAGATGGAGGTGTAGGTGCATATTGCAGGTGAGAATAGTGGCGGTATAGTCTACGTTACATGCATTGCAAAACTTTTCTAACAGGCTGTGGGCAGTGGTGATCTCATCAAAAGTAATGCTGGGCTTTACGTAGTATCGGCATGCATCAATGAAATACATCCAGTTCTTGAATTGTAATGGAGGGAGAATACCATGCAGCAAGACAGGAGAATAAACCAGAACCCATGATTTCCACTCATCCGCTTTCATGTAGCTGAAGCCCTTTCCAATTTTGGTTGTCAGTGTGGTGTAATCTCTGGGTAGTACCATTGTCTCTGCAATTTTCTCCATCGAAGCAAACTCTTCAGGTCCAATTGTCTTCTCATCAATCCACCGATCCATTAATCTCTTAGACGTCCCCAGGAAAAGATTATGCATGGGATCAATGATTGTTCCACGTACTAGATCAAAGTATCCAAGGCGTTGCAACTGCGACCATCGAACACCATTTTCGACCTCCAGCTGATGCCTTTCTGAGAGTGTACTTGCATCCTTCCACTCCTCAGCATGCAACCTGCTCTCTGCACCACTGCGGATATTCCAACGAGAATAATTGAATCCATGGAAATCAACCTGGTTGCTGCTCCCTAACCGAGTAAACTGCAGGCTGCACCTGTAACAAGCACATGTGCTGTTATGCGCTGTGAATCTACTTGTCTTTCTGGCGGCTGGGATATCACATGCAACCATCAGTAGTGCAGCACGAACACTGACACCATTTGGGAATTCGTGTGTAGGAATCCGCATGCCAATGTACAGCTGCTTCAAATCATCCACCAAGGGCTCCAAGTAACTATTGATCTCATCGGTTTTTGGCTCCTTTGGACCAGGCATGAGACCTACAAGGATAATATTCTCTGGCTTGAATCTTTCATCACGGGGCAAGTTGTTGATGGCCAGATAGATAGCACCAGAGGAGTGAGTGACACCATCAAAGGGCTGGAACCAGTCGATGTTAAGTGTTAACATTAGTGAGCGTGGGTCCAACACAAATGATACACCATCCTTGTCCTTCAACTCCTTCCACATCGCACCATCATAGACATCGCACAGAGTATCTACCATCTTCAACTCCTTATTCCATTGACGAATCTTGGCTTCGAAACTAGGGCGACGGAAGAAAACGCTCAATGTATTTTTAATGGATTGGTAGACATATTCACGCTTTGCAACCAAGGCACCGGAAGATATGGATTTCGTCAAATTACAGTTGCATGCAGACCTGGCACCAAGTTTTGAGGAAACACATCGAGGAGGAGCAGATACAATATCCTGATATACTGTATGACAGTCTTGGCACACCACAAATATCTTGATGCCTTTTGTAATAGCAGAAAATCCTGTCATTTTTTGTAAACCGGCAAGACTGGTTGGTAATTGAAAATCTTGGTCGTAGATTCTCAGCAGGTTGTTGATAAACTCAATCAAGACAGCAGCACCCTTATCAACAACATGACGTGAAGCAAATAGTACTGTAAAGATGGCTATGAATTGATGGACTTCATTTTCGGGCATATCAGGAGCAGCAAAAGGGTCTGTAAAAAATTAAAAAAAATTAACACTTGATTTTTCTTTTACTCTCTTTTTCTTTTAGTTTTCTTTATATATCTCACACTGACCTTCACTGTTGAAGTCCTCAATCTCGATCTCATTGACTTCATCTTCAACATTGTCATCGAAATCATTGTCGTCTCTGTCATTGTCAAACATTGAGGCGGCATCCAAAAAAGGTGAGTTGGCCTGACCGTCCATTGCTTCCACAGAATCGGAACGAGAAGTTGGGATTACTACAAATATGGAATATAATAGTTTATTAGTTTTTTTTTCTGCTTTCAAATAAAAAAATTCTTACCCTCAGTATCTACATCCATGTTTCTCATTGCGGCTGTGTTTCATTAAAAGTTTAAAAATAAACAACATAAATAAAAAATAAAAAAAAAATTAAAACGATTATTACACAGCAAACAAAAAACTAACACTGAATATATTATACTATTCTCAAATATTCTGATACCTTCAACTCTAGCTCTCTTATTATGACGAGACTCAGTACGCTTTGCAGCATAAGAAGATTTCTGATGACTGTTGTGACATTTAATGCAGTGACAGTCTAAGGTGTGGATTTGGGTAGAGGGAAACATATTGTGTATAGCTTGAATTATAAAATAAAAAAGGAAACAAGTACTACAAATACTTTATTTGATGTGATTTTATAGCAAGCCAAAAAAATATGAATTTTTTATTGTCTATCTAAACCAATAGAATACGTCGAAAATACACCCCCAACTTAAATAAAAAAAACGGCTGAGCTGAAAAAAAACCCTGACATTTTCACTACCTTTCTCGTTACTTAAAGATATAGTATTTTTTTTATTTTTCCAGTGATCTATTTAAATTTTTTTTTACAATCATTCATTTGAATGCTGGTTCCTGTCAGATTTCAGACTGATTCTAGGTCGATTTTAGTGAGGTCTATCCAATAATATCATGTAATTAAAGCAAATAAAAATTTTTAAGAGGTAGAGAGTTCAAAGCCAATTCCATAACAAGTAGGGTTTAGGTACGGTTTGAAGTTATGGATGAATATATAACCAGAATTACAGACAATTATAACATTTCAAGAAAAGGGGGAATTATAACTCTCAATTTATCTATTGATTTTAGTATCTATAATCTCATCATTTGGTTAACTAAATCAACCAATTTTTGCAACAAATACCAAACTATAATTGAACATAAACCACCGATTTTTGGAGGATTTAAACAAAAATTAAGCTACTTAAATCAGTTGTCCTTTGCAGTGCATATAAATATTTAGTGAAATATAACATATTTAAATCATTATTACTAATTATTTTAAAGTTTGTTTTCTCTATCAATTTGTCATGTCTTGTAACGTGCATATACTTAAAATAATGCCGTAAATGTAAGCTATATAGATTCAGTTTGAGCGTCACATAACGTCACAAATTGATAGAAAGAACATAATTATAAAATTTATAGTATCTATTTTAAGTGTTATAATCTTATAAATAATATAGTTTGTGTGTCTTAGTCACGTGCCACGTCACAGAAAAGTTTTTTTGGCAGCTTTTATTTTGTTTAAATATTATGTTCATTTTTTTTTTGCTTTCTTTTCTTTTATTTTTACTTTATTTATTTTCAAATGAATTATCAATCTTCTTTATCAGTTCGTCCATTATCTATTCCTCCTTTGAGCTATGTTATGGCATCAACATATACATCTGAAGTTGCAAAACAGTAAGTAAAAAAGGTATTTTTAATTATTATATATTAATATTTAATATATATAAAGATATTTGATTGCACAGAGTACTTTATATTCAAGAAATCATATTGTTTTTACTTGTTCTGGTGGCAGTTCTATGGACTATATATTGGAAAAAGACAGAGGCTACAGTTACAGATACAGTGAAGTAAACAGCATGGGAGCAACATGTTGTAAAAGAGAAAGAAAATCTGAAAGATTGGATTCTTTCTTTGCACAAAGCCATCTTTCCTGTGATATTGTTATGCCAGGAATATATTACTGGTTAAACTGGATTCCTAGAATGACAATGGGAGTTATGCTTGGTGTTTCTCCAGAAACTATAAGACATCTCATTGCTAGTATTCACCAATTGATTCAAATGGATTTAACAAACAATGATATGAGAATTGGTAAGTTTATAAGAGTTAATTACATATAGATATATTAAATATTTTTATAGGAGGTATTGATGCCAATAGTCAATTCGTTATTGTTGAAATTGATGAAAGCAAATTTGGAAAGAGAAAATATCACCAAGGACATCGAGTAGAAGGTGTTTGGGTTCTGGGGAGTATTGAGAAAACAGCAGAACGAAAAACATTTTTGATGACAGTTCCTCACAGAGATGCTGCAACTTTCCTTCAAGTGATAAAGAAGTATGTAAAGCCCAATAGCATTATTCACACAGATTGCTAGACTGCATATGGGGGATTGGCATCAGTGATTGATATGAACTATACTCATAGAACAGTCAATCACAATGTTGAGTATGTTACATCTGATGATATTCATATTAATACTATAGAAGGTAAAATACTATAAAAGATAAAATTATTTTATTAACTTTTATTACATAGGTCTGTGGAATGGAATAAAAATGAACTACAAGGCCAGATTGCAAACAAAACAAATGGTGCCATGGATGTTGATGGAATTCATATGGAGAAAAAAATATGAGAACAGATTGTGGCAAGGAATACTAAAAATATTAGCTGAGGTTTCTTTTGGAAGCATTGTTGACAACCCAATATATACAAATTATGAATATTTAGAAGATGATGAAGATGAAGAATATACTGATTCTACAATAGTTTAATAAAAAATATAAGAAATTTGGATTTAAATTAATTTGGATTTAAATTAATTTGTTTTAATAATATTAAAACAATAATATAAAAATAAAACATAAATACATTTTAATTCAAATATATCAAAGGAATAAAATCATTCAACATCTAATAATAGATATAAGATAAGATTTATATCTTAAAAAAAATCAAATAAAAAATACAGAAAGTACAAAATGCATCCAGCTTGAAATCAAACCATAGTCTTCATGTCAGTGAACCGTAACTGTAACAAATGGATCACGAGTGTATGTAATCGAAAAACATTTATTATATTAAATTCATTGCCCCTAATTTAAAAGCATATTTATTACCTTTCTTACATAAACTTTGAAACTGCATTATCTTCACAACAAAAAACAGTACCAAAATATAATGACTATTGATTAATATCTATGAAATTCAGGCTATGCAAATCCAGTTTTGCCGTTATTATAGGACAAATATTTGCAAAGTAATTTAAAAAACAAGATATTAAAACACAGATATATAGAACACAAAAAATGATTGGTTTTTAGCTTAAGAACATTAATCTGATTTTGAAAACTCATAGAGATATTATCCATATTGGTAGTTTAAATCTGGCTTTAAAAATCCCATAAATCTTCATTCAACCTACTTTCTCACATTATACCTTTATATAATATCTGTTACTGTGAATTTGTTTAAGTCAGTAAAATTTTAATTTTTCATATAAAATATAAATAAAATATAATATATTATTATTAAAATTAATAACAAAATGAATTTTAATTCACTCAATTTTAATTCAGCAGTCACAGTAAGTTGTCACATTGTAAACATATAGTATATCTATAATTGTGTATTTTTTCAAGCATTTCTACTTAGTAATTTATTAATAAATCAAGATATATATAAAAAATACTTAAGGCGCATCAGTCTATTTTATTTTTTGTATAAAAAAAAAGGCGTGTTGGTCTATTTTACTATATATCCGTTCAGTTAAATATAGTGAGAAAATAAGATATAATGTGTGATTCCCTGAAGTTATTGTTGACAGGATGATGTCTTTTCATTGTACTTATTGATGTTTTGCTCTACAAATAGAAAAATTGCTTTCTATTCAGCCTCGGCCGCCATTGGAATGTCAAAAAATAATAATAATAATAATAGAATATAATTTTCTAGAATTACAAAGAACTCTGAAATGTCACCACATTGCTGGACAACTGAAATTTTAGTTTAACGTTGACTATATTTGTATTACTCCGTGTCACGTGTATATTGGTTTCTTGGTGTAGGTAAAAGATTTTTATTGAAAGGCTAGTGGGCACACGCACTATAGAGCTATTGCCTGTCTTTAAGAGTATAAAAAAGAATAATAGAAAGGAAAAAAAACCCAAGGGGGAAAATGGGAAAAACTAGAAAGGGAAACTAAGCTAGGGGATACAAAAAAAAGGGAGATAAGGATAAAATATGAAGCATGCATGAAATTCATGCAATAAATGGAAACTAAGACTAATACAGATCTAAACTAAAAATAAAAGGAGATGGCCAGTCTCATTTGGGTAGCCAGTTCAAGAAGAGTTGTTCTCTGTCTGTTGCAGCATGATCAGCAAGATCAACCCCAGGGAGACAGATCTGTTCTATGTCCAACATGATTCTACAAAGAATTGGCCAAGTAAAGATCCAGAAGGCATTGTTCTTGTTGCTTTTAAGTTTCTTCAGAGGCAGCATATTGAGTACATAATCAATTGGATTGGGTTGTACTGTAGAATAGAGATGGAGACGAATTGCAGCTCCAGTGCACTCAATGACATGATGACGGCTGGTGGTATGCAATTCACAGGAACAAGGTTGAGGACGTCCAGGAAGCCACCCCATACGCCAACGTATGAATCTACTACGTTCATAGTTAGTCATGGGAAGCCAGAGAATAGGGTCAACACCAAGAGAAGGATGGCAAGCAGAGAGAAGTATTTGTTGAGAGCGTTGCAAGAAGAGGCCCTGGTTCAAAAATGAACGAATGGCATGCTTGCAAGCTTTAGAATCAGCATTCTGACGATTGGAGAGAGACAACCAAATGGGATTAGCTAAAAGCTTAAACCATTGGTATGCTGGGTTTGTAAGAACAGGTCGAAGAAGAGTAAACAGAGCCTCATCAGGCAACCAGAAAGCACGATATACAAACTTGAAACCAAGAGTCAAGATCCTCCCCCTCATGCTAGGAAGATTCCCAAGGTGACGGAAAACAGATGTAGAAGATGTGGAGTGACCTCCAAAAATCATGCGTAAGCATGTGTTCTGGGCGTTTTCAAGCACAGCAACTTGTTTGATGTTGAAGCAGGATATTGCCAGGCCATACTCAAATTGTGGACGAATAAACTGGCGATACAAACGAATTGAGAGTAGACGTGACAACCCAGTGTGATTGACACCAAGTGATTGAAGAGCACGCATGCTGTTGATAGCAGAGACACAATTACGAGAGATGAGAAGAGATGGATCAATAGTCCCCTTTGCTGAGATGGGAACACCAAGGTAAGGAAACGAATGAGCATGAGGAATAGGCACATTGTAGAGAGAGAATGACAAAGGAGAAAGAGAACAAGAATGGTGAAGGATCATGCACTTGGTGGGACTCCAACGATATCCTAGCTCTTGAGAATGTTGTTCAGCAGAATTCAGAATGACAGGCATAGCTTCTGGTGTAGCAATGATGGCAACATCGTCAGCAAAAAGTAGTGAATTGACTAATTGATCATTGAGTCTTGTGGCAGCAGTCTGATTAAATACTGTGTTACAAAGTTCCCCTGCAGCACGAAGAGCAACTGGTAGAGAATTTATGTACACGGAATAAAGGTGGGGAGAAAGCACAGATCCTTGCATAACGCCAGTCAATGGTTGGAATGATCTGGATGTTGCACCAGAAAGCAACACCTCAACTTGAACATTGTCAAAAAGACTTTGTAACAAAGCTAACATAGCATCAGAGGCAAGAGGACGTAACGATGTCCATACTACAGAACGATCAACAGTGTCATATGCAGACTTGATATCAAGAAAAGCCAAGACTGGTGGTGCTTTGAATAGAGCTGTGTGACGACGGACCATTTCATGGAGACAAAGAACTTGATCAAGGGAGCTACGTTGACATTGGAATCCACCCTGTGCAATGTCAATTGTTGGAGACACATCTTCAAGAGGAAACTGTAGACAATATTCCATGGCTTTTCTTAGGATAGACGTTAAGCTAATGGGACGATAGTTAGCAGGGTCATGAGTATCACCCTTTTTAAAGATGGGGACAACTTGTGCAGTACGCCATGCAAGAGGTGCAGAACCCCATTGCCAACAAAGCTGGAACAAAAGACAAAGAACAGGAGAGACTTGCTTAACAATTGGGTGAAGCATTTCAGCACGAAGATGGTCAACACCAGGAGCCTTGCGTGTAGGAAGCTTGAGAATTGCACTCTCTACAGAAAGATGAGTAAAAGGACACGATTCATCAATTGCAATTGGTGATGAAATCATCACTGTCTGGTCTGGAGGGCGGTGTGCAGGAAGAAATTGACCTGAGAAAATCTGTTGAAGATGATCAGCCATTTTGTTAGCAGCTACTTGAGGTCCACCAGGATCCACAAAGACAGGACTGGTTTGACGATGGCTTTTAATACGTTTCATTGTTGCTGTTGTCTTTGCAAAGTCTTGTGTTGCCAATTTGTTGCAGAATTCTTTCCATGTTTCACGTCGACGACGCTGGACTGATAACCTAACAGCATGACATGCATCCTGATGGCGCATCCAGCATATAGCCTTCTGCAAACCACTAGAATGACGCCAGCGTTGGTAGCTGCGTTCTCTCAAATCCATTGCTTCTTGAAGGTCCACTGACCAGAACCAGTACTTTTGCATGGTACGTGGTGTACGACGACCAACA